TATCTTGAGAATCTCATGAGATATTGATAGAATAGTTCTTATTCTTATCTGGGATTTGTTTGTAACCACTGATCCCCTAAATTTTTAGTATAACTTTAGTTAATAAAAATGTATTTATGCGTAGTTTTGTTTCCCTAAAGTTTAGTAATTTGTTTTGTTATGGGAGCGAGGGTGGGGAAGAATACTTTCAGGGTTATGATCCAAGTCATGTGCTTGAAATACATTCATTTTTAACTGTACTTTGTGCTACATAGGACTTTGTTTTTTGCAATTTAAAGTGTAGGCCCCTGAAATTTTATTAGCTTTTTATTAGAAAAAAAAATCTACATCAGCACTTCAGTTGTGTTTGTTCTGCTAAATTACCTTGAATTTTTAATTGAAAGGCAGTTGATTATAATTTTAGTATCAGCATTACACAAAGTTATGGAAATATTTAATGATCATATAGTTTGAACCCTCCCTGACAAGCAGGAAATTATCTTGTCTGCCTGACTTTTAATAGATGACATTCACCCACTGGATGTATGAGACTCTAAACTGAAAACTCAAATGGAAATCAAATTCAGACTTGCAATAATCAGCGTCTGCTTTATGCATGCCCCAGAACACTGGAATATATTAAATCAGTCCTGACACAGTTACCTTCCCCCATTCTAATAATGAGGATCTTAATTTAACCCCTTCCTGGGTAAATGATTGTGATTTTTTACTTTCTGCAATAACAAGTGATTTCCACATGTCTATCTAGTGTAATAAAAATCTCTTGGTCACCGCTTTATTTATTTTGGGGCGGGGGTACAGAATCTCATTCTGTCACCAGGCTGGAGTGCAGTGGCACAATCTTGGCTCACTGCCGCTTCTGCATTCCAGGTTCAAGTGATTCTCCTGTCTCAGCCTCCCGAGTAGCTGGGACTACAGGTGTGTGCCACCATACCCAGCTAATTTTTGTATTTTTAGTAGACATGGTATTTCACCATGTTGGCCAGGATGGTCTCTATCTCTTGACTTCGTGATTTGCCCACCTTGGCCTTCCAAAGTGCTGGGATTACAGGCATGAGCCACCGCACCCAGCCAGCCATCACTTTTATAGTAACACAAGAAGCAAACACCAAGACTGAGACAATTGAATGAAAATACCTCATTTTTGATTACTGACCTCTGAAGTTATATCATCCATGTCTTTTACATATAGTAGCCCATTTATCCTCCAAATAATAGGAATTCTAACAAGTGAAGTGGGAATCTTCACATCGAGGACCCGCACCAAGGCTGTGTTATGTGGCTCCTGGGCGTAGACATCAGCTCTTTGGTTCAGCTCACCTGGTGATAACCATTTCTGAGCTAATGAGCTCACAAACTCACATGAGGTGGAGTTGTATCTACTGTCCATTCACTTGTTCATAATGAAATTTCTTTTAAGTTTATTAAAGAAGTAAGCTATACACATAGCAAAAAAATTCAAATTCAAGTAGTAGAAAAGAGTATACAGTTAAAAGTCTCTACTCTTCTGTGACCCCCAATTTTCGTCTCTAACGGCAAACCTGATTGCCAGTTTCTCCTGTATTCTCCCAGGGAATTCTGTATATTTACAGATAGATCATGTGTGTGTGCCCTTTGTTGTAATATAAGATATTTTTCAGCACCTTTTTCACTTATGTATCTTAAGTGTTATTAATATTATAGTACATACAGAGGTGCCTCATTTTTAATTGTATAATATCTCTTTGGATGTTTTATAAAATTTTAACCAACCACCCCCCACCATTGGGGGCATTTAGCTTGTTTTTTGTCTTTTCATACTACAGTTTCTTTGTTAAGTGTTCTTTGTATACCTATACCTGCATAGCAGTAGGATAAATCCTTAGGCGTGGAAGTGTTAGGTCAAAGAGTAATTACCTCATTTATTTTGATGAACATTTCCAAATTACTCACCGGAAGATGAACTATTTACAGTTCCATCAGGAATGTTAAACCACAATAAAAATTTTATCTTTCCAACAGCAGTTATTTATGCCTTTTCTTCCAAGTTCCTCCCAGAATTTAGATACATAGAAAGCCAAAATCCACAGATTCTTAATAAGCATGAAATGAGGGCCAAAGGACTTGCATGGTCTTGAGGTCTCAGGGTTTTCAGATAGAGCCCCCTGCTTCCCCATGGGATGTGTCAGAGAGCCCAGTCTTTTCTGACACATCCCATGCCTCTTTCTTTGTACGATGCTTGATAAAAAAAAAATCATTCAAATAGAAGCTCTTTTCTTCCTTTTTTTTTTTTAAGATGAAGTCTCACTCTGTCACAGAGGCTGGAATGCAGTGGTGCAATCTCAGCTCACTGCAACCTCTGCCTCCCAGGTCCAGGCGATTCTTCTGCCTCAGCCTCCTGAGTAGCTGGGACTACAGGCACCTGCCACCATGCCCAGCTAATTTTTTGTATTTTTTTAGTAGAGACAGGATCTCACCATGTTGGCCAGGATGGTCTCAATCTCCTGACTTCTTGATCCGCCCACCTTGGCCTCCCAAAGTGCTGGGATTACAGACGTGAGTCACCCCGCTCAGCCAAATCTCTGTTCAAAACTCCATATTGATATTTCACTTTCAGTATATTCTTATTATATTTTTATTCATTTACCACATGGAATTATTCTGTTAACCAGATTGTAATTATTTTTAAATTATTGCATTTTAATTTGCCTGATCACAAATTATATGTAGGAGTACATTTCCTTCAGATATAAAAATGTAGACAGGATTATTTCAAAACATGTTTCCTAAAAACAGCTAATTCCATCAGGAATTTGGGAGTCTTTACTCAGAAGTAGCACTTGCTGGTCCTTAAGAGCTTGATTTTTTTCCTGTTATTTACTTTAATATTTTCTTGTTTTAAACTCTTAGGCTCATCCGCCTTTGGGTCAATGATCCTCTCTCCTCTGACTGCCACTGACTGATCAATAAATTGATATTTTTAAAAATAACTTTATTATTATTATTATTATTATTTGGAGAGACAGGGTCTCACCATGTTGCCCAGGCTGGTCTGGAACTCCTGGGCTCAAGTAACCCTGCCTCAGCCTCCCAAAAGGATTATAGGCATGAGTCACCATGGCTGGCATGATAATAAATTATTCTAGGCCGAGTATGGTGGCCCACACCTGTAATTCCAGCACTTTGGGAGACCAAAGCAGGTGGATCATTTGAGGTCAGGAGTTCAAGACCAGCCTGGCTAACATGACAAAAACCCATCTCTACTAAAAATACAAAAAAAAAAAAAAATTAGCTTGGCATGGTGGTGCATGCCTGTAATCCCAGCTACTAGGGAGGCTGAGGCAGGAAAATCACTTGAACCCAGGAGGCAGAGGTTGCAGTGAGCCAAGATCACACCACTGCACTTTAGCCTGGGAAATAGAGCAAGACTCCTTCTCAAAAATAATAAATAAATAAATAAATAAATCTAAACTGTTTGGGAAATACTTTATAGAAGCCACCAGTGATTTTCCATCCCTAGATTTCCTAATGTACCACTAATGAGTCATATGTAAGTAGAAAATGTGATTGATTTATGTGATCTACATCTGGCAAATATACTGTGAACATGAAGCATTGGGTTGTGTTTTAAGAATCTCTTGAAAATTGTCACATTTTAAATGGTATTTATCATAGCTATCAGATGCTTCCCATGTAATTGTGCAAATAATTTGATCACTGCCTTAGCCAGCAGTATGTTCTTTATTCACTAAGTGATTCTTCTGTTATCTATATTCATATCTGTCTTCTATTCAAAGAAACAAAGTAATTACCAACTATTTGTTTTATTAGAACATACTAAATATTTCATAATCCCCAAAGACCAGTATAATTGGAGGGGGAAGCAAGAGTGGAGGTTAATTAGAGAAATTCTATTAGAAATCAGTGTGTACTATTATTTTTTTTTTTTTTTACCCCTTCGACAACGTCATGGACTGTTAATGATTGCAATCAGTTATGGTAAATTCTGGTAATTTGACATGTTCTGTGAGTACATGAATTATACATAACAGATTTAATGTAACTTCCTTACTTTCTGCAGTTCCCGTACAGGATTTTTTTTTTCTTAACAAATATTTTTATTAAAAATACTTTCCTTGTAACCTTAAACTTAGGATGACTTCTACTCATTATTATCAGTGAATATGTTATACTTATTAGGATATAGGGACATATTTTAAGTTTCTAAATAGGGAGTCATTTTTTTCCTTTCTGGTTCTGTTTTCCCTTCAAGTTAAAATTAATGAAGGTAGATAGACAGACAGTAGTAGCAAAGATAAAATTACATGTAGTATATTTCCCCAGACTTGCTTATAAGAATAAAAATAATATCCTTATTCAATAGACTTTGCCACAGAATGGTGTTAATAGATTTTTTATGTTTTCATTGGGGATCCTAGTCACTATTAATTGTACATTTCTGGATGAAATATTTTTCTGTTTCAAAAAAGTTACTTATTTGAAAAAAAAATGTTGACATAAAACCCATTCCAAAATTGAGGACTAATTCCATTGTGTTTCTCAAGAAATTACATACTGCATGATGTTTATTTTGTGCTTGAAAGCAATTATTAGCCAATCTCTTTAGGTAATTTTCAGTAACATACAATGTTTCCGACATTTATTCTTAGATTTTGCATTCTGAAATAATGGAGCAAGTCTAGAGGAGTATGACCAAGCAGGAAAAGAATCCTTTTAATTATATGATAGTGGTAAATTGTTTTGTACTTTGGAATAATCCACAAGAAAGGTAAAGGAAATAAACTGGTACTCATCCAGAAATAAAATGTTTTTGTGTCTACTCCAGAAAACTTCAGCAAAGAGCTGACAGATGTGTGATGCTTTGTCAGACTTTACCGACTACCTTTGAAAAGAGGAGAAATTTCAGAGTCAATACTTAGGAAAGAGAACACCCTAAAGATCAATCTGATATGACTGAATGCTGCTGCTGTGAAACTAAGATGTTTGTGTTTTTATTTTAGTGACATTATATGCCTCCTGCATTCTCCTGGGAGTCTTCTTGAATAGCAGCGTACCTATATTTTTTGAGCTTTTTGTGGAAACTGTCTACCCAGTTCCAGAAGGAATTACTTGTGGAGTTGTCACTTTTTTAAGTAATATATTTATGGGAGTACTTTTATTTTTTCTCACATTTTATCATACAGGTAAGAAATTTGATTTTTTATTTACTATCTAAATGTGTTACAAGAAAAGTTTGTGTCACCAGTGTATAGAAGTTTTTATGTGGAGAAGTCTCACTAAGGCAAATTACTTTATGTGAGCTTTCATTGCCAATAAAAGAAAATTCCTCAGTTGTTTTCCTTGAAATGCATTCTAGCCCAAGTACACCCTCACTCCTTCCCTGCCTGTACTCCCCACCTCCTCCCCGAATTTCTGAATTAATCTGAACTGGAGCCCAGCATTTGTATTTTTAAAATCCTCCGGTCCCCACACCTTACCCTACCAGGTGATTCAAATATGCAGATTGTCATTGAGAACCTCTGGTTTGCAATTAAAAACTACTTTGAATCTCTCTTAACACAGGATGTAAATTAATATTAGGGTTGTATAAGGAGTTTAAAGCCTGAGGGATGAATGAAGGAAATCACCCAGTGTAAGGAATGCTCTAAAATGTGACACTCCAAGAGGCCAAATTGTTTATAGGAGTGTTTCTGACAAGGTTATAATTGGAATAATAACTGTGCCAACCTCCTCAACTGGAAAATAAATTTTGAAACTGTTTTTCTTTCCATAGGATAGATGAATTTATTTTTATTTTTATTTTATTGTACTTTAGGTTCTGGGGTATATGTGCAGATCATGCAGGATTGTTGCATAGGTACATACATGGCAAGGTGGTTTACTGCCTTCCTCCCCCATCAGCTATATCTGGTATTCCCCACCCCTCCCCCGCTGTCCCTCCCCAAGTTCCCCACAACTGACCGCAGTGTGTGATGCTCCCCTCCCTCTGTCCACGTGTTCTAATTATTCAACACCCGCCTGTGAGTGATACCATGCAGTGTTTGATTTTCTGTTCTTGTGTCATTTTGCTGAGAATGATGGTTTCCAGATTCATCCATGTCCCTATGAAGGACACGAACTTCTTTCTTAATATAATAAACAGTACATTAGATTGTTTTTGTCAATCAGTAATGCAGGTAAATTAAGTCTTTGCTAAACCTGATACAAGTTGGGTTTATCATATGAAGGAGAGTGATATTAATGAAGTCAGAAGATCATGCTTTGTTGTCCTCCTGGAAACACGTGCTTCCATTAGGGAAAAGCACCATCAGGAATCAGGTCTTCGCTTCCAATTAGTTTTCTAAACAGCATAGTTGACAATCATTACTTATCAGCTTTAATCCACTTGAGCTGTATCACAATTTAAATTAAGTGGCTTATTGCCTGTCTACCTGGTAAAGCATCAGAGCTAGCTGTGATACCCCCTGGGATGGTAGAAGCGGTTTTCCAGCCGATGGGCACAGCTTTGCTTAGTGGTTGGTGCCGCCCAGCAGAGCATGGTTTTTCCTGTCAGTTAGAAATAGAGTTTTGTCCTCCCAGTATTTAAAAAGAACAACAGCAAATGCCAGATAATGTTATTCCCCAATAAATCTTTTGCTTATGGTCTCTAGTATGTAACAAACACGTTTTTATTGATCAGTTTAAGACAAGGAAGACCCCAATAACGGAAACTGCCCTAACTGTCTTACTGCAACAGAGCTCCGTGCACACCTGACCATTTTGCCTGGCCAGTAGTTATCTCTGTCACTCCCCTGGGTCCTGCTGCAGTTTTGACTTGTTAACAGCGTTTGGTGTCTGGAGTGAATTAAATGGAACTGACGTCAGTCAGTGCTTCTTCGTCATTTTGCAAATTCATAGTGACCAGATACAAGCAGATATTTTATTTCTTTGGCAGAGGGAGCAGAAGAAACACTTAGCACTATTTCTGCCCATTTCTGATATAATCAAGGATTTATCTAGCTGGGAGAAACAAAACTTCCCTCTTTTTGGTTGGTTTCTGCTCATGTGTTCTTATACATGTTTGTGTAGATATTTTAAAAGTTTCCACTTAAACTTTGTGACTATTGTGAAAAAAAGTGAAACTTGGAAATAATTTAAATGTTTATTTTTAGATTCAAGGAGTACATGTGCAGGATTGTTACATGGGTATATTGCATGGCACTGAGGTTTCGGACATGAATGATCCCATCACCCAGGTAGTGAGCATAGTACCCTGTGAAACTTTAGATAATCATTCATTTTAATCCACCAAGATGGTTTCCAGGAAAATGGTCTCATTAAATTTTGGCATTTTAGGCAGTTAAGAAGATACATAGGAAAGAACCTAGTCCAGGGCACAACTGGGCACAACTGGCACCCACGGATGTTTGTTTTGTTTCTGCTATATAATTCGCTGACTGCTGCTAGGAATTTAAATATTTAGTCTTCCATTATAAAGAAATGCTTTTATGTGTATTTATGAGTGTGCATCATGAATACATGGAAACATCGTCCATATCTCTCTAGGGCTAAAGTTACTAGAACCATGAAATCCGTGTTGAAACTCTTCAGTAGGATTAATTGATCTTGCCCTAAAAGCCCTGTAGTGGATCACATTCTGTATGGTCTGAGGTATGATGATACATAAATTGCAAATCTAAAAATTCTGTAAAACTGTTTCCTAACAATAACTGTTAGTTCTGCAGCCTACCCTATACATTTTATATGATAAATTGAATTCCCTTCCACTAAAACCAGTGTTCAAATGTCATTATTCAGTTATTTTGAAACTTGAAAACTCACCTAGAAGTTAATTATATGTAAAAATTCAATTATTAGTTATGTGATTAGAAGGCCTGATTTCTTTAGGGATAGTGGAGGCAGGGTCTTTCTCTGTCACCCAGTCTGGAGTGCAGTGGCGCGATTATGGCTCACTGCAACATCGACCTCCCAGCTTCAAGTGATCCTCCCACCTCAGCCTCCCAAGTAGCTGGGACCACAAGTGTGTGCCACCAAAACTGGCTCATTTTTTGTATTTTTTTTTGTAGAGATGAGGTTCCACCATGTTGCCCAGGCTGGTCTTGAATTCCTGGGCTCAAGCAATCCACCTGCCTTGGCTTCCCAAAGTGCTGAGATTACAGCCTAGAAGTCCTGATTTTTAATCATCATAAAGATCCGTGGTTTTTTAAGTCACTTCTCAAGGAAGTACTAAATTTCTTGACTCGGGTTTTTCCCTCCACAGTGTACTATCTGATAAGTGAAAACATCAGATAGTTTTTCAGGGCAATACAAACCCCAAAATGACCACAATAGAATGCCTTGCTTAGCCAGCCAGGTTTTGCTGTCAATTTGCTTGCAGATTAGAGCCAGTACAGCCATTGAGGGCAAATCTGATTCAGGCTCCTATACCAGTGCCACTATAGTTATATACTATAGAATGCTTATTTGGAGCCCTGGGTCACAGGGTCTCCACGTCCTATTTCAGTTCAGCTTTGGGAACCTGGAACCTTGTCAGAAGTTTTTTTAGAGTTTTACTAACTTGGATTTTTCAAGGTCACTTCCCTCCAAAAAAAAGTTGGTACTTGCTCCCTGATATAAGCATATTTGTAAAACCGAGTTGCTTCCTGTGTTTGGGAATCTCATTGAGTTGAGATAGCATAGTGATGCTTTATTCTAATAACGTCACATAGAAAAATCAATTTGAGAATGCTGTCATATCCTGTATGTGCTCTGAAATATATTCTGTTTAATATTCTGAAGTTTGTATTATCTGTTACTTTTTGTTCTAGAAGGTTTGCAGCAGGTTTTGGCTAAAAGCATCATGATTTTTATCTCAGTGCTTTCATTTTAAAGTGGCTGACCGTGAATGTGAGGCTGCATTGTCACTCAAAAGAATCAGGGGCCTGGCAGAGGTGGGAGGCATTGACTAATGATTACCAGGTAAACAAAGAGCAGGTTCAAAAGATGCGGACTAGTGAGAAGTAACTTTATATCTAAGAAGCAGAATAATGGAATGTGATGGTACGATCTACTGGGTAATTGATGTGGAATGAAGATAGCAGGACATTGTCCTGGGAAATCATGGGGTCAGCTGGCTGCTCACCTTGAGTGATAAAGGAGACAATCTTGTTAAATTATCATAAAAGAAAATAGGAAGTTGGTTCTGGAGTGTGGCAGCTGGAAACAGTCAAGTCCTTGTAAGTGGTAGAAACCAAAAACATGTCATCACTGAAGGGAAAGATGAGGTGAAAGGTACAACAGGGCTTCCAGAAGAAAAAGATAAGAGGATGAGCAAATTCCCAATTAGGTCTATCCCAAGAGTCTCATCATTTACTGCAGAGCCCACTTCACTAAGTCGAGCACCTGTCTAAACTGTAAAGTGGCAGAGAGAGTACTCTGACTGCTGTGTAGTAGACAATAGAGACCTAGTGGAAGTATGGAGCAGGCTGTAGAGCCCTGCCTTCAAGTGTGGATTTATATTTCATCCAGTGAAAGGCAAAGGGAAGGAATATTAGAAACCCATGCTTATTTTAAAAGCAAAAAAGTTATAGTATGAAAATCTCAGTGGCTTGGGATTCTGTTAGTTCATCTATATCAGGATCAGAAAGAGGCTCAGAAAGGAGAGCGGTTGACTTTGCTACTGCCAAGTCAAATTATATTTTTAAGCAAATTATTTCCTTGCTTATTAGAGCACCTAAGCAGTGGTTTATGTGAATGGCTTTCAGCAGGAAAATGTAAAGTTCTCGTCTCTGACCTTTTGCTTTCTAACAAGGCAAATAATTCTAAAGAACACTTGCAGTTGATGGAAACAAGTGAATTTGCTGAGAGGTGGATTTGACTTTTCAGAGAGAAGCACACAGTAAAAACCAGTGAACAAACCATAGTGCTAAAAAGCAATTATGATAAGTTTTTAGAGATTTCATATGAACCTATGTAGAAGAATGATTTTACAATTCTAATAACTGAAATAAAAGGTATTATTAAAAAATTTGGCAATATTTGCCAAGTTTCTCAGTTTAAGGAAAGCAAGGACAAGCTGATTGTTGCTATATGTGTTGCTCTAGTTCCCCATAAAATACAGTCTTTAAGATTTAGCAGCTGGCATGGTTGTAAACCATTTTGTCAATTTCCGTACTTTTATCTGTTGTTTAAAATTTGCCCCTGAAGTCCAAGTTCTCCCTTTTAATACAGACAAAATGCTATTGTCTATATTTTACTACTTTTTAATTTTTTTACTGCTTCTTTTTGCCTAGTAAAATTATCAGAAATCCAGGGGTTATATAGTCAACATAAAAGCAGAAAGTGCCTGGTGTTTCATTTCAGGGAACATCAGAATGAAGACAAGATCTCATAGATCTCAGCTTCTCTGAGTATTTAGACTATGTTCAATCCAAGTAAAGCAGAGAAAACAGCTTTGCATAAAAATACCATTGAAATATATGTCTTTGTTATATACTGTAGAATAGCATGTCTGACTTTTAAAACATAGTAATTGAGAGGTGGAGAGGCTGCTTTTGTGAGCACATTACAGAAAAAAAAAGGTATTTCAGCACCTTTTCTTGCCAGTCAGTTTTCTGATTTCCATTCCTGAGCATAAATTGCTCTTTTAGCCATATGAATTATGGATTAAACTAAAGCAGCAGCGTGGAAATCTTTAGGATGACTTTTGAAGATTAAGGCAGTATTAGCATTTTGTAGAAGTACAAAGGGAAAATAAAACCCCTAACTGACCAAAAAAAAAAAAAAAAAAGGCACCAAGGAGTTTATTTTCCTCGTTTTTTAAAATGAAACTGCTAAATGGATATTAAACTAGAAACGTTGTCCCTACCACCTCCACCAACATCATTATGCCAAGGAGCTATTCACTTCAGACAGAGCCTTGGGGTTGACTGGCAGGTGGGATAGGGTAGAGGAAGGCTGAACAGATGCACAGCCCTAGGGTCCCTGGAGCTTGAGGAAACAGCTAGAGGCAGCTACAGTGGGCAGTGTATGTTGGTAGCAAATGGCTCAGGATTGTCTTGGAGAGTCCCGAATTCATGAGAGAGCATTTCTGAAGAAGCATATTCTTGACACATTAAATCAAACAACAACGGAATTGCCCATTCAGATGATTCCTATAGGTTTTCCAGTAATTGGCATCATACATAACCATTCGTGCTGGTGGAGAAAAAGACTAGAAAGAAATAAGCCAAAATATTCACAGTGGTCTCTCTGGGAGCAGAATGATAATTGATATTTTTGTATGTTTTATTTTTAAATATATTTTCTAATCTGTTTTACAGTGATTTCTACTTAATATTTTTGCTGAGAAATAGATATTTCTATCCAAAACATATAAAAGTGTTATCTCAAAATTCAGGTGATGTTGGTATTTGTCTTTTTAATCTATCAGATATTTCTAAACAGGGACGAGAGTGATGGTGATAGAAAGTACTTAAAGAATCATTATCAAACTAACATTTAAAGGTGATTGATTTTTTTCTTTGAAGTAATTTATTTTTGTAACCGAAGTCAAGGTGGATTAAATTGTTGACAATTTATTAACAGTATTGATTAAAAACATTCCACATGGAAGCCCTGTAATATATTAGACACATCACTTAGTCTCCAGATTGTCACTGTTCATTGAAAGCCAGTTTCTAGGCCTTCCAGGGTGCATTTATTAGAAGTGCTTTTTAATGCAGAGCAGATTCCTTCCAGCATACAGGTGATGTCCGGCTGGTGATGCATGAATGTTTAAAACTGCATGTTTTTTGTCTTACAGAGTTGTCTTGGTTCAATTGGTGCCTTCCCGGGTCGTGTTTGCTCAGTCTCCTCCTCATTCTGTGCTTCAGGGAATCCTATGACAGACTCTATCTTGATGTGGTTGTCTCCGTTTAATAGCACAGACTTGAAGGAGTTTAAAAGGAGGCTGGAAATCAATACTGCACACTGCACATTTGCTCGGAATTGCACATCTAACAGGAAAAGAAGAAGAAGAAAGAAACTTCATTCAGAGGTTTTGTTAGGTTACAGATTATCACATTAATTTAATTACTACTAGGTAATAATAATGGGGACTTGAGTGATAACAGGGGATTTTGAAACTCTACAGATGGCATACCTGTGCCTGATTCTGGGGTTGGAAGTATGATGTCTTACACGTAAAGCACTACCTAAGTAATTCTCTCTTCGTTTTGTGCCAGTGCTAAACTACTGATTACTTGTAATTATGAAAAGAAATAAAGGGTGTTTATCACATGAAGATAACGCCTTCCCTAAGTCACATATCAGAATAGGAAGATATGCCACTAACTTCTAAAGAAGTTCAAACCCTGTATCCAGTTTTAAAGATAGAATAGCCAAGAGGTATATCGATGATAGAAATTAGCCACGTGTACACTACATTTTTTTCTAATAAAGCCATTTCTTATATGACTCCGTATTTTAATCAGGTCAGAAGCCCTTGGCCATCTTGACTATGGTGATTGGGTGCTTTCCAGTGACTTCTGGGCACAGGCACTGTGTCTCCATCTCAACCTATCCTTGTTTCTGTGAAATACAATTTCATCTACTAGGCCCTTAAATAATTATGTGAGGGTGACTAAATGTTTAATATAATTACATTAAATATTGTATGAAAAATTGTAATCCCATTAGGATCTAGCACTTTGTTACAAGTGAAATGACAAGTCACATGGACATACTGTGTCTTCTGCCTGTATATGATGGCATGAGATGTAACGTCCAGAGCCTACTATTATTTACCAGGGTTAGATTTTGTTGAGTGACGCTTGTTTGAAAATAATTTATCGCCGGGCACGGTGGCTCACACCTATAATCCCAGCACTTTGGGAGGCCGAGGTGGGTGGATCACGAGGTCAAGAGATCGAGACCATCCTGGTCAACAAGGTGAAACCCCGTCTCTACTAAAAATACAAAAATTAGCTGGGCATGGTGGTGCGCGCCTGTAGTCCCAGCTACTCGGGAGGCTGAGGCAGGAGAATTGCTTGAACCCAGAAGGTGGAGGTTGCGGTGAGCCGAGATCGCGCCACTGCAGACTGTTGTTACTCCAGTCTGGGTAACAACAGCAAATCTCCGTCTCAAAAAAAAAAAATAATAATAATAATAATAATTTATCACATTGAAGCTTTCAACTCTGTTGAATGATTTCTGATTTACATCCTTGTGATTCAGCTTTGGTTGTAAAATACTCCATTCTCTGTGGAGTCAACATATTTGAGAGGGCAGTGTTTTGCTAGTACCTATCTTCTTTCTATGGATAGGGGGTAGGGATAAGATTACACATCATTTAAGTGAATATTGCAAATCATATTTTCTTTTTGTTTTTACTTCTATCATGCATCAAAATAGACCAGCTGCTATCTTCACACTTATTTTAAAAAATAAGAGTTCCACATTGGGTGGCTCTCAGACACAGATTTCATGCTGCAGTGGGAGTGTGGTATCACCGCTATTCATATTTACATAATTCCCCTCACCCAGAAAAACCAACCGTTTTCCCAAAAACTCAAGAATACTACTTACTATACCTTTATTATTCTTAGCTTCCTCCAGCCCCTCTTCTTGATTTTTCTCACTTGACATTGTACCTTCATTGTCAGTTAAGTATATATACTGTGTTTTTCTGGATAGAGTGCAATTGGCTCCTGTTAGTGAAGGTGGTGAAGTCTGGTCAGGAAAGCTGGGCAGCCCTGGGCCTGCTCCTGTCTGCACCCAGGCATGACATGACACACCCACATGCACATCCCTAAGTCCCTCTCCCCTCACCCTTAGCAAGTGCAAGGCTTTGCATTAACTCACCTCAGTCCTGGAGGAGCATCCTAGTACTGCTTGGCGACTTCTAAGACTCTAACTTGTGAAACTAGGAAAGTAACAAACCCCTCAAATTTAACATCTGTCTTCAGTCATCTTTAAATCATCTCCCTTTATAAACACCCTGCTTACTTAGCGGGAACTGAAGGAACTAAGAAACTTGACAAAGAGAAGAAAACCAACAAGAGCTAGATTTAGTTCCAGTTAATTCTGTCATTCTTCTGAAATAAAAATGAGATAAAAGGAAGGCAAAATTCTCTCTTTTTTTTTTTTTTTTTTGGAGACAAGGTCTTGCTCTGTGGCCCAGGCTAGAGTGCACCAGCCTGCAACCTTCATGTCCCAGGCTCAGGTGATCCTCTCGCCTAAGCCTCCTGAGTAGCTGGGACTACAGGTTTGCACCACCACACCCAATTAGTTTTTCTATTTTTAGTAGCGACATTGTTTCTCCATGTTGCCCAAGCTCAACTCCTAGTGATCCATCCACCTCAGACTTCCAAAGTGCTGGGGTTATAGGAGTGAGCCACCACACCAAGCCAAGAAGCCGGTGGATCACTGGGAGTTTGAGACCAGCCTGGGCAACATGGAGAAACAATGATTGAAAGCCAGCCATTAGGGATATCAGTAGACCATGACACAGATGCTAAATAGCCACCACCCCTTCCTGTTCAGAGAGAAGCTAGAAAGGAGAGGGAAGAATTATAAGGTATTTGGTTATGGTCAGAACTATTATGTTGGAGGATGTTGTTTTATAAAGTTCTGCTATAATAAGATTTCTTGTGTAGAACATTTTAATTGAGGTTAATTGTACTTTTTTAAGGGACAGGATCTCACTATGTTGCCCAGGCTGGACTCAAATTCCTGGGCTCAAGTGATTCATCCATCTCAACCTCCCAAGTAGCTGGGACTGCAGGTATCTACCACCACACCGGGCTTAGTTCTATTTTTAACACAAAGTAAAGAATAACATTTAAAAGTATTACCTAAATGACTAGTTCAAAACATCCCAAGTGGGTAGTGACTAAAAATTCTTGCTTTGTTGAGAATTCTTGTTTTAAGAATACATGAGGTGAGATGAGTCCCTCTATCTTGTTTGTATCTGCTTACCCCTCTAGCAGGTAATTGTTCTAATTACAAGGTGAAACTGTTTAAAGTGATCAAAAGTTCACATACAGAACCTGATAGGAAGGGAACCAAAAGGCTTGGGGGTAGGGAGAAGATTACACATCATTTACCTGAATATTGCAAATCATTTTCTTTTTGGTTTTTACTTCTATCATCCATCATAATAGACCAGCTGCTATCTTTGCACTTTCTAAACTTTATAGAATCCTAATGAAAGGTTACAACTGAAAGAAATCTTAACCCTTCACTAATCCAAACCCTCGGATTAGCATTTATAGTAATGGTTCTAGAGAGGTAAAGTTCAACTGAGGCTCACGGTTTCTGACTCCCAAACCAGGTGTTTTTGTCCTGCCTTACAGAATTGCAGCTTAATTTAGACCATTTTGGGTGTGTATGAATACCTTCCATGTTCAGAAATGATAGGGCTTAAGAGTAAACTTCCATTATTGAGTATGGGAAGTACAGAGATGAAATTTGATGTGGTTGTGTGGTTTATGAGTAAAATTCTCTTCATCACTGTCCTGTAGGTGCGCTAACATTTCTTAGCCCTTGGGCTGCAATGACATCATGTAAAAAGATTCCAATGAATAATTCAGTCCCATAAACCAAGTCAACAGCAATATTAATTAGAAAGGACATGCTGTAGTGCAGATTCCCGTGTCTTATCAATTAATACTTCACAGTTTATGGGAAGAAACATTTTTTAATATGATCCATGGTGGAGGTATAGGAACAAGACAGTTGTGCACACAAATGCATTTCACTGGAGGATGGAGCTGATAACAGAAGAATCAAATTCAAATGTAATTTTGTATATTTAAATATATATGGCCTGAGGGCCAAGTTTTTTCATAGATCATATGTTCATGTTTAATTATGGAGAATGTTTACAGCGTGTTTTTATGAAGCCCTTCTAACAAGAGATCTAAGCCAAGGGATTTTAAATTAAAGAGATTAAATCCCCATCTACTTAACTTTTAATTAGATTTTTTTTTTTACTATTTTACTAAAATCCAGGCATTCATCTTACTGTTTGCATAATACAAGCTTCACTTTAGACTCAAGATTGAATAAAAATGCATAGCAAATTTGCTTTAAATTAATGTTTAAAAAATCACATTGCACATTTGTCCCTGAAATAAGTACAGAAATTACCATCATTTTGCCATATTATCAAGGCAAGTACTAAAGCTGTGATATGAAGAAAATGTCACATTAAAAAAGAAACGCAGGAAACTATGAGAACATTTTATCAAAGCTATTTTACGAAATAGGAAGAAATGCAATTCCACTTTGATTTGGAATTATAATCATGCAGAAGGGACAAGATAGTTTATTTCTTTACTAGCAGACAGTGTGCTGGTCTGTTAGGAAATGTGAGCAATACTCAGGGGGGCAGTGTCTAGGCGGTCTTAGAAGAACAGGACTTTCAGTGGGCTTTGGAGTACTTTGAGCTCAGAAGAGGCAGGGTGGCCTGCTCACTCAGCAGACATCTTCTTGGCTCTCACGAGCTCTCCTTTCCTCTCTCGTGTATTCCTGGCTCAGATGGAACCTCAACCTTAGGAGAGGATTCCAGGAACTAATACAGAGGCCCTTAGCAGACCCATGAGGGTGTCACCTCTGGTCAGGGGGTGGGAGTGATAGGCAGTTATGTGGCCCTCAGTCTCTCCGATTTATGTTTGTTTGTGGTCAGGATTTAGATCACTTTATGATTTTCTGAGGCTCTGACTCATCAGATATCTTTCTCAACCCTTAGTTGAATCTGACCTCAGCTCTATCCCTGAGACCTTCCGCTTCCTTGAACTGACTTTCTGACACAAGCTTCTTCATCCATCCCCCTCCCCAGGGTCCCAGGAGGAAATCCATTCTCATTCCTGAGTAGGAAATAAGGCCATAAGGCCATATGCCCAGTCTTTCCTCTCATGAACAAGATGTCAAAAAAATAATCTTGTGCAAGCTCAGAACATGAGTAAGCCCAGGTTCTAAGATTTAACAGGTCTTCTCACAGCTAAGCCTTAGAAGTTCGAGTATTTCTTTGAAATGGGAATTTCAAAGGTCTCTAACAAGTTTCTATAGTTATTACTTGTTGGATTTTTAGAATATGGGCTAATTGCTTTATGTGGTCTTTTGGTTGTGCTCTGGAATCTGGTATGCCTCAAACAGTAGCTTTCCATCTTAGCCCACTCTCAAAAAGAACTAAAAGCTACCCAGCCCAGTTGTTCTGTTCATTCAACAAAGGAAAATTACATCTTTTTTTAACCTAGCTAAAAAATGAAAGGATAGAATTGATTTCAGTAATTTTGATGAAATGATCAAAACATGTCAAGCTATTTTAGCTCTAAATGTGCTTTTTGGACATAGTTAGTACATTGTAAGGCTTGGGACTCCAAAGGAAATTCCAGAAAATCAACCCAAACCTCACAGTACTCGTAGCATTCCCTACTTCTATGACCTTGAACAAAATGGCAAGGATAACTTGG